TCTCTCTCTCTGTGTGTGTGTTTCTCTCCCCTCTCTCTCACCCAAATCGTGTGCACTCAGCCGCCCTCTGGAGCTCACTGGCATAATCCCTGGAAGCCCAGATGTTGCATATTAATATCATGATAACCATTACTGTTATGACTTCCTACGGCATTTTTCTTTCTTGTAGCTAATCTTTTCAAAAGCCAAGCCTCATTCTTTTGAGGTCCCTACCTAAACGAAACATTTGCTTTTGCACTTAAGGCTGTCAGAAACACTGCGGCGGGAACAGAAGAGCCCCGCCTGTCTTCCAGGCCCTGTGAAGTCACTGGGAATGGCTTACAGAGCTGGGACACCCTCCCTACGCAAGGGAGGGATAAGGCCGACATCCTTAAACCAGGGTGAAAATGTGCTCACTTCTGAAAATAATCTGTCTTTGGTTTCCATTCATATTCCACCCTTTCAAGGACCTCGAAGAAACAGCACAGGAGCCGGGCTCCAGTTCCCCCATGAATTGAGCGTTTGTTGCCTTGGAAAAAGATCCATCCTGTGGGGGTGTCCGTGGCAGCTGACTGACTCCCAGAAAGGATGAAGGATTACAAACAGGACTCCAGTTGGATGTGATTTCAGCCGAGTGTGGTATTATTTTTCCTTTATGGTTAACGGCCTGGTGCTTTTCTTCTCTCTTAGAATGTGAGGTAGAGCACGCGTGACCCAGGCTCCACGTGGAGCTCCTCCCCACTCCCCCCCGGAAGGGCACTGTGGGCCTGGGGCTCTAGATGTGTGGCATTTCCCTGACGCTCCCCGAGAGCCAGCTAGCGCTGCCTGTGGTTTTTCCAGGTGGTGTTTAAAATATGCCTCGCCGAAGCCCTCTTGAAACTTTAGGAAGGCTCGCCTTGCGAAGTGTGTTCTGAGGATGGCTGTGGGGTTTGTAAGAGGATTCATCGTTTTGGACCAGGCTCCAGTATGAAGCAACACACCAGCTGTAATCTGGCCTAACCCTAATACAGTATTACAGCATGATCAACTTGGGAATTTAGTGTTTACATGTTTAGGCTTAATCATATTTTAACCCCATCAAATTGGCCACACGCAGGAATGGTCTGCTGCTGTGCGCTTCCCTGCAAGTGCAGATCGCAAGGCGGGTGTTGCCTTTGGGCCCAAGTGCCTTTATGGTGGTTATGGCATCTTTCCCCAGCTCTGACCTTAGCACTGAGAGGACTGGTGGCTTCTGCCAAGAAATTACAGGCCACGGTCCCACAGGGATGGTGCTCACATCCTACCGGGTCACATCATTGGCACGTTAACCCTTCCTCTTCCAGTAGCCTTCGTCAGCCAGGAGCAGCTCAGTGGCATTCCGTGCTGGGATGCTCACGGGCTTGGTTTTGCGTAGGTCTTGTGCAGGTAAGTACAAGCTACTGTGAGTTCACCATTACAGAGCTACAGAAAGGACCCTATTCCATGTGCTTGCTCTTGGACCATTGTCCCAGTCCCAGTGTACCAAAAGAGATGACATGAAACCAAGAACCAGCAGTGAACAAGGCCAAGCTAGGGCTGGGAGATGCTCAGAGCACCCTCTCATTCCTATTCTTACCCCTCCCTTACCCCTGCTCGGCTTGTGGCTGTGTAGTTTACGTCCTCTGGGCCACCCATCTGCACTGCATTCTCCCAACACAACTTCTTCCTCCATTTAATTTTCAGTGCCTTATGGCAGCAGTCACCGTAATTCACCCAAGGAAGTGAATTTATTGAGTTTGCACTCTACACCATAGTCTTTGTTCTTAGTTTACAGAGTTGCAAATGTCCATTTTGTACAAGTATCTAGTGTACTTTGAGCGTATTTCCCCTGTACCCCACCACCCTCTCCCACCTTCTCACAAGTCCTCTTCTTCCCCCCAATAGCTCTTTTTCATCCATGCCCATGGAGTGTATATGGTATTCTGTACCTGTGACATCTAGGGTCCATAAATGGGACAAAGCATGCTATAACTTTCTCAGATTCACTTAATTCACTTAATTAATTATCTCCAGTTGCATTCACTTTCCTACAAATGACAACTTCCTTTAACCTTATGACTGAAAAAATTCCGTTGTGTGTACACCCTGTTTTCTCTGTTCCTTGTTGTTAGACACCTAGGTTTGCATCAAGTTTGCAGGTAGATGAGGCTTGGACTCTAGCGGAACTCTGTTCTACCAAGGGGAACAAACATGCACATGCTCTCCTTACTATGTTTATGTTCTAGCATGGTGCCCATCACACAGAATGTAGGGATGCAGAAGAGGAGGCACCTCCAAAGCACAGGTTAAGCATTTGTTTCATAAATACTAGATAGCAATGTCTCACCTTCATACTTGAGTGCTGACTACTGAGTGATCCACTGAGTCCTCCCGAGGAGTGCTGCAGTCCTCCCCACCGTTCCCTCCGACGAGCATGTCAAGGAGGGCAGCATGTGCTCATGACTAGGCTGGCCTGAGTAGCTTGGGAATGACAACAGTCACAATAAACGAAGCGCCAGCACTCGTCCCTCTGGCACCTTAGTGTAGTGGTATTGTGTTCCCCAAAATACTGTGCTCCCTAATAAACTTATCTGGGGTCAGAGATAGAACAGCCGCTAGATACAAAGGCTAGAAAATGGTGACGCACACGCCTTTAATTGTAGCATCTCAGAGGTAGAAATCACTCTGGATCTCTGTGAGTTCAAGGCCACATTGGATACGGCCAGGCATGGTGACACATGCCTTTAATCCCAGGAAGTGAGCCTTTAATCCCAGGCAGTGATGGCAGAAAGCAGAAAGATATATAGGCATGAAGACCAGAAACTAGAAGTTTTTAGCTGGTTAAGCTTCAGGCTTTCGAGCAGCACAGTTCAGCTGAGATCCATTGGGATGAGGACTCAGAGGCTTCCAGTCTGAGGAAACAAGACCAGCTGAGAAGTTGGCCAGGTGAGATTAGCTGTGGCTTGTTCTGCTTCTCTGATCTTCAAGTGTTCACCCCAATACCTGGCTCAGGTTTGATTTTATTAATAAGAACTTTTAAGATTCATGCTACACCTTAAGTCAGAGACCCCCAAGGAGACAGTTCCCAACAGCTAGGCACCCCCTCACCACAGGAAAGGAAGCTCTGCTGTAATCTTAGTCATTTCTTCCCATCTGAGGGGATTCTCTCTATAGTACTTCAGATGTCACGTGTCATTACTTCCTGCCAAAGGGGATATCCATGTGGTCTCAGCATCTTCTTTACAAAACGGGCCCCTTGCTTTCTCCAAGTGACCTAGTGAGGCTGTTATAACCACATGGCTCTCTTGTCACAGATTTGGTAAGATGCAACACTGATTTGGGAAGGGTTGGTTGAAGATTTTTTAGGTAACGGGATGGATTTGGAAGCATCATGGTTGGAATTTTGTCCTGGGCTCATCACATCTACAGGAAGACAAACAGTTCCCTGAGCAAGAAGAATCCATGTTGTAATCAAATCAAACTTTTATCTAACATAGATAAAAATTCCCTTAGGCCATTTTTAGATCATGCTTAAATTCTAGGGCCACTTTAAGCCACAAAGTCTCAAGTTAGAAATGACACAATGCTGCAACCAAAATATTTAGGAAAACTTGGCACTCAGTTGAAAACACAATATCCTTCCATTATGCAGCTTCCAGGTCTGCCTCAAGCTAGGCAGCATCAGAGGGAACCAGTGGTGTGCGAGCAAATGGTATGATTCACATTTCAGTATCTCTTCACCACATATTTCTCCTAGCTGCCCACCTGAAAACATGTTCCCTCCATTCGGGTCCTTTTGGGGTCAGAGTTATGGGAAGAGGTAATGCATGTTAAGGAATGAGAAAAATCCAGATCTGACATAGTCTTCCCCTATGTATGCCTTCTGCATAGGGAATATTTGAACATTTCTACTCCTACTTTCTGGTCTCTCTTTGGGCAGTCTTATTATTGCAAGGCTGTTTCCTGTAGTTCCCATGAGTCATTTTGGTGGAGATCTTGTGAGTCCTCCAGCATGCCCCAAGGATACCCTATTCTCTTCTGGTTTCTTACCACCTCTATTTCCTCCATTCTTCCTGGTGGCCTTCACCAGACAAGACCTATGCTAAGCCCTTACTGGCTCTTGTCCTACCTTGCCTCCCTCTAGCACAGAAACACTACCACAGCTCTTAGCCCAACAACCCCAGGAGGCTAGCTGATCACCGCACAGCTCCTTCATCTGGCTGTAGTGGCCTTGGCTTGCTCAGCTGTGACTCCAACATCCATCCATGTCTTGAAAGTTAAGGAGCTCCCAGAGATGAGTCTTCAGCAGGCTGGAAGTAAGAGGCAGCTCTCCAGAGGCACTCACGGAAAGAACTTTGAAGAAGGGCTCTTGCCAGCCAATGAAATCCCACTAGAGAATCCCTGCCCTCTACTGACAGAACCTTGCCCCTGGAAGCCCCCATTTAAAGTCTCCATTCCACCATCAGGACATAAGAGTGGCTAAAATCAGCTCACTGTCCTTTACTTTGCAAGATCAACATAGGATAATCCAGCCCTATAATTCTGTCTTTAGTTTACTCTGGCAACTTGCTGGCAGCATCAGCTAAAACCTAGACAGACAATACAAGGCCTAAAGATGCCAAGGTCCCCCTGGAGAGCATTGTGTAGACTCAGGTAGAGGAAAAGCTCAGCCACATTCTCTGTATCCTTGGAGCTAAGACAAATATAGGACTCTCTGTTCAGGATGATCTCTTATTTAGTCTCTGCTAGCTTCCTTTAGTTTCCAGTATGGGCAGCTAGAAAGGTCCTCATTGCCGCCTTTTTTTCATGTGGTTTATAAGCAAGGTAGATGAGAGCTGCTGTGGTAGTGCTGGACTTGTCTCAGGCTTTGCTGTCTGCACCTGCCTGCTTTTGTGTTCCCTGGTTCTGGGAATATTCTGCCCCTTCACCTACCAGATCTGCACTGAGTCCTCAAGTAGAAGATAAAATCTGATTGGTAGGTGTGTGTATGAGTGGATCCCCTTACACACACACACACACACACACACACACACACACACACACAAACAAAACAAAAAAAAACACCCAGAGGCTTCTTCACAGGAGAAAAGAATATATATCTCAGCTAGTGCAGTAGAAATATTAAGGTTAATATGCTGTTTCTGTATTCAACATTAAGAACCTTAAGTCTAGTCTGGGAGGGAAGATTTAAAATATCTTTGTGTTGTGCTTAGAATGTCATGGTAATTTGGGAGCTTGCTACTGAGATCTAGAGAGAAAGTTGTGTGTACATCATACCATTGATACTTATTCAGGATTTCAATGGGCAACCGCCCTGAGTTCTGAAAAAGCTGATTCTATAATCACTCATTTGCTAGAAGTTATGGCCATCATGGGTGTACCTGTACAAATCAAAACTGACAATGCTCCATCTTATGTCTCTGGCTGAGGAGGACAGCAGCGACAGTGAAGGGTAAGGTTTTTCAGCTCTTAGTTATTATTCTGACCTCTTGGGCTTCTATCTCTGCATTGGCTCTGTATTTTTTATTTAACAAGACGGTTATATCTACAGTTGTGTCTACAAGAAGCTGTTTCAAAAAGCAAGAGATGGCCCTCCATGCCTTTACTCACAGGAGCTGAGAGGTAGGTCTCCGAGTTTGAGGCAAAGCTGTCC